TTCATTGCCATTTTTGGGACCTGGCTACCCATTTATTGAATGTTGAATTTGCCTACATTACAACTGATGACTGATGCTTTGAAGTATTTTAGGAATCCTGAGGACCATGTATAGAAATATATGCCAGTTATTTTTAAAAGCTGAGAATTGACAATTTATGAAGAAACATTTGCTGATGTATTAATTATCAGAAGAGAATCAGATGTATGCTTTTCTTGTGACTGTTCAATTTGAAAAGTTTTTTTTTAATGAATTTCATTTCTCTTTCAGGGAACGACAGTGGGTGGATGATTTTCCTCTGCATCGCAGTGCCTGTGAAGGTGTTACGGAGTTGCTGAGCAAACTTCTAGATAGTGGCTTTTCAGTTAATCAGTTGGACAGTGATCATTGGGCACCTATTCATTATGCTTGTTGGTATGTAATTTGGCTTCAACCAAACTTTTTATTATTTTCCATAATTAAAACTTATTAAAATATTCCATGAAAATAAAGTTGTTCATGTTAAGTAAAGCCAAGAATGAAGTCTGCCACAGATTTTTATTTCTCTGACTTAGGCAGTGCTTGGCTCTTCCATGGCAGTGTTATAGTTAAAGGGATTTGTCATCATATTTCACCAGTATTCCTTTATTATGTCACAAATTCTGTTCTTGCACTTCGGTCATCTTGTATGCTGCGTTGAATCTTGCTGGTATCACAAACATTGAGTGTGATTTTCCATTCCCAGAGGTAGTGAGACAAAAATAGTTGACTCGCCAACTTTAAGGGCATTTAAATGGTCATTGGATAAACATATGGATGATAATGGAATAGTTTAGATTAGATGGGCTTCAGATTGGTTTCACAAGTCGGCGCAACATCAAGGGCCGAAGGGCCTGTACTGCGCTGTAATGTTCTATGTTCTAAAAGTGAATGTGATGACATAATTGGAAATCTGATTATTGCCATTGCAATAAATTTTGGAAACTAAGTTCTACACCCCACACCCCCCACCCCCCCTTAGATGCTGAGATGACTTTCTCGCCATCAGATTGCAGAAAATCTATCTGCATGCATTTGCACCTCACTAGTTTAACTCCCTTGAATTAAATCCATTTTCCAACTAGCTTCTGCCCAATCAAGAATAATACTTGACTCTTCAGAAATTCGACTACAACGCGGTTTTCTCTATGGGCAGCTGCTCCACATCCTTCATATCCACACCCTCGTTAACCATCTGGCTGCTGTGACATTTTATCTTGGCATCCAGCAATTGTCGGGGGCCACTGGTAAGAGGCTTCCTACTTGGGAATTCCTCTTTTCTATCAAGGATTTAACATGATGAGTGATGTACACAGTAGTCTGGTGCAATAAAGTTTAAGGTGATTCACAACCTCTCAGGATGCCTTTGTCTTTTGCAACTCCCTATATTCTGTATACTTTTGAAGGGCATACCCTGTTATTATTGTTTTGTACCTGACATGAAAGTACAGTATGGCCTGATTGGCATTTTGTGATCTCTCGGGCCTCCATGAATCAATGGAGCCAGGCATAGTATCTTGAAACCCAGCTTTGCTGATAGCAATAATGCACAGTTGCTAAGACTGTAAGCCATGATGATGCAACTGCCATATCCCCTCTTGAGATGAAGGGTGCTATGAGAGGTCTCCAGTAAAGACTGTATAGTCAGTTTTTTAACCAATCATTGCATCTCTTTTCCCCTTGCTGTTGTGAGTCTGTCAGCTCGGCCATTGAGATTTTTGGCAAATGGTAGTTTTTCACTGGTTTAGAGTGCAATTGCATCCCTTTTATCATGAAACAGCATCTTCATCAAAAGGATTCCACTCCCATCGTTTTGAAATCTTCAATGAGGCCACTACAGCCAGGTAATGCAACTCTGTGCTGGGTTTCCAGATAGCAGCCAGGGCTCTTGGATCCTGGACCATTCACAGGTGCCAGCTTCTTTGGAAGGCAGTTGGCCTACACAAGGAATTTTGCTGGGCCACAGAGGATACTCTCTCCACACTTGGCTGAAGTTATATCTAAGAAATCCTCAGCCTGCTGAGTAGAGGTATGGCACTGCCCGTGCTTCAACCATAGACCTGAAGATGAGATTCCAGTGTCTGAATTGTTCAGGTGGAGATGATGCAGTATACTTCAGACATGCTGCCCCACATCATCGTTGTCTGCTGCATCCTCCACAGTCTCAGTCACCAATGGTGGGAGGGGGATGTGTTCACCGAGGAGATGATGCAGGAAATGAAGAGGAAGTTGAGAGTGAAAATGTTGCGATGGGCCAAAATAACCATTCGAGAGAGGGAAAATATCAGCTGAACCACGGAGACCAGAGACCACCTTCTAGTCACCAGCTTCCAGGAGGCCGAGCTGTCCAGAGATGACTTTTGTGTTATGTTTTCATTTGTGCATTTGGCTGTTCCCTTCTGTATGTTCCTCAAAGCTTTCCATTTGATTTATGATAACACTTCCTCTCACCTGTGGCGGGGATCTTCATTTTTTCTGTAAAAGCACAAGTGTGGACACAAATCTTGTCCTGGATTAAGATGGCTTTAAAGCACGGTGATGTTGAGCACTACTGCATTCAGCTCCAGGATGCTTGTGTTAAAATGGTCCTTGCATCAAAGATGTGCAAGTGCCATCAAGGCATACACTCCATTGTGAATACCACCTTGTTGCTTATGTAGGGGAGGCAATGGCCTAGTGGTATTATCACTGGACTGTTAATCCAGAGCCCCAGGTGATGTTCTGGGGTCCTGGGTTTGAATCCTGCGGTGGTGGAATTCGAATTCAATAAATATCTGGAATTAATAATCTAATGATGGCCATGGATCCATTGTCAATTGTCAGGAAAACCCCATCTGGTTCACTAATGCCCTTTAGGGAAGGAAACGGCCATCCTTACCTGGTCTGGCATACGTGTGACTCCAGACCCACAGCAATGTGGGTGACTCTGAACTGCCCACTGGGTAGTTAGGGATGGGCAATAAATGCTGCCTAGCCAGCGATGCTGTCGTCCTGTGAATGAATATACAATCTGTTTCCCTGGAAAGCTTCAGAGTGCAATGTGCCTTCACTGTACCCTCGTAATCCCCGAGCATCTTCACTGGCAACTCTTCCACTACTATGCACTCTGAAGTTTGGATTTCTTCGTGAAAATACTTTTGGCAGCACTGTTATTAGAAACTGAAATGAGATGTGGCCTTTGTTGATCTCACCCTTAAATCGTCTCATGTTGCTTGGACAATCTCAGACAGGTGACAGACCTTTTCCCCTGGATCCTGTAGATACATGATAGGTTTGCCATCTTTTCCATGATGAGTGTGTGCAGGTTCCACCATTCGAACATCCAAGAGCACTTGCAAAAGGGTGTCACTGAAATTGAGGGGCTGGCTTCTGTGTCCTAGGAGACATTTGGTTGATGTTAGGAACAGACATCATAGGATCCAGGGATGCTCCTGGCAAGCAGTGATGAAATGGCATCCAGCTGGTCTGCCAGGATTGAGAACCTACTTGCTCACCACGTGATTGGCCCCATCATTCGTGTACGTGTCACTTGAATAGGTAATGAGGTGAAAAGTGTGCAGTCATCACCCATGATAACACACTAGGTGTGATGCCAATCAAGACACACTGCCGTACTTTAAGCCAACAATGGAAAATCTCTGTCATTACTTCTCATATTCTGAAAATACATACAGCTTTCTAACTTTTGCCTTGATCATAACATCTGCTCCGATATTCAGTGAAGGAGATGGCAACAAGTATTGTCGTTACTTTGGGTAACCACTGTGTGTTAAATTTTTATTTCCTATTTTGTGATTCTGAATCCTAGGAACCACATGACTTAGTTAAATGAACCTCTGAACAAGCGACTGGATTTGAATCGATTTGTTCAGCTGTCTAATAATTAACACTAGTTTTCTTGGAGAAATCGTACTTGTACTGATTTAATTTTATTTATCACTTTAAAATGGCATTTCATGTCCTTTGATTTGTGCTGCTTCTAAATGCTTGTAATTGTTCAATTACATCAGAAGGATCGGACATTTGATCCATTTATTCAATGTTGCGTTCATTTTCAATATGCTCACATGCTGGCAGTTGCCCTTAACCTTTTCCATTGCCAATCTTATCTAGTACTAGAAGTAATGCATATTTAAATCAAGAAAATATTTTTCTCAACTATAAAGATTTTGATATAATCTGTCTAAAATTATATTCAAGCCTGAAAAGTTAAAGTAATAAACTTAACTTCAATTTCATCTTTCTTCCTGCCCGTTATTTGCTTTTTAGGTATGGAAAGGTTGAAGCTACCCGCATCCTAATAGAAAAGGGAAAGTGTAATCCCAACCTTCTAAATGGACAGCTTAGTTCACCACTTCATTTTGCAGCTGGTGGAGGACGTGCAGAAATTGTGCAGCTTTTACTACAGCATCCGGAGATTGATCGGGTATGGTTCACATAATTTCTTAGCACGTTCTGTTCAAATCTTCGTATAAGCTAGAGCTTTGATACGTTGATCCTTGATTGTGTCTGTCTTTTTTTTAAGCAGATTTAGTGTGCTATTATTAAAAGTTATATCAGTTTACGAATGCTAGCTGATTGTATCTCATTGCTAGTTTCAAAATTGTTGGTAAATTTTCCAGCCTTCCAAGATTCTGCCTTCACTGAAAAATTGACTGCATTCAGATTTTCCTCTCTTCGTTAAAACCCTGCAGATATAAATAGGCATTGCACTATCAAGCTGCATATTTATTCCCATTTATCCTTATTTCCCTATTCAAGCAGTGTTTTATATACTGCCTTGCATAGAGGTGATAAAGAAATAGATATTTCCACAGCCTTGCTGTCCACTGCTTAGGTATTTTCTAATTAACCTGTTCAGAAATGCTTTTACTTACATGCTGTCTATGTGGAACTTGAACCTATGCTTTCTCTACTGCTTTGTTTATTGTTTAATCAATCCATTCAGAGATGTTCTTACATACCGCTGGAGCAGGTGCGACTTGAGCCCAGGGTTCCTGGCCCAGAGGTGGGGATACTGCACCACAAAAGCCCTTCAAATGTTTTTGGTGGTTTCGAACCAGGGACTGTTCGCATCTCGAAGGAATGTGATAACCATACATGGCAACAAAGGGTCCTTTCTCTGCTTTGTTCGCCACTAGCCTGATGTTACAGATCTTGTGGTGATAATGTTCCTCCCTCAGCCCATTCAATATTGTGGAACAAGTCCAAAAGTCTTTCATTTCCAGTATGCATGGACAGGCTTCTGATGTTCATGTCTATTAAAAGTCAATTGTAGGGGCAGGTTTTTTTTTAAGTGCATGATTCCAAGGGAGAATCAACACAGACTGTTTTATTTGTTCATAGAATGTGGCCATCTTCTGCTTGGCCCGCATTTATAGGCCATTCTAATTGCACAGTGGGCAGTTGAGTGATGCCCGCATTGCTGAGAATCTGAAGTCACGTGTTGCCAGATCAGGTAAGGGTGGTAGATCTCCTTCCCTAACGATATGGCGAACCAAATGGGTTTTTACAACAATCATCAGTGGTTATATAATTACCATTTTTTTTAAAAATTCAGACATCAGTAGAATTCAGATTTTGCTATCTGCCATGATTGAATTGAAATCCATTTGTCCTGAACGTGAAAGTAGAGTTATAGATTGCGAGTCCAGTGACATTACTGCTTTGGTACTGTCGACCTAGCTTAATCTGTCACTTCATAATCTTCTGGAAGCCAATTGTTATCATATTCACACAACCAGATATTGAGAGAGTACAGTCATGTTTGAAACACACCAAAACTAAACAACTTTAAGTTGTGTAGTCCAGTTTAGCACTTCATTCCCATGAGAGAAATGTATTCAAATTCACCTGTTGCAACTATTGATGAGAAATTTGTTCACGCAGAATCATTATTTTATGATTAGAAATATTGCTTAAACTATACTTTGCATATCATTCTGAAATTGTTTTATGTTTGGTGACTATTGCAGCATATTGTGGATCAACAAGGAAGGACAGCATTGCAGGTCTGTGAAGAGAATAAGCAAAATGATTGGGAAACAACAGTACAACTCCTAAATGATGCATTGAATAAACCAGTAAGTTCATTTCCTGAGGCTTTTCCAGCATTAAAATGCACAAATCTCCAGATGTTTGACAGTGTTTTGCACGTATTTAAAGAGTTATAGATTGCGAGTCCAGTGATATTACTGCTTTGGTACTGTCGACCTAGCTTAATCTGTCACTGCATGATCTTCTGGAAACCAATTGTTATCATATTCACACAACCAGATATTGAGAAAGTACAGCCATGTTTGAAACAACCAAAACTAAACAACTTTAAGTTGTGTAGTCCAGTTTAGCACTTCCTTGAACATTGAGTTGCATGACCAAAATATGCATTTTAGTTAACTGTACAAATGTATATGTAGTACTTTCAGCATGTAATTTTGATTTGTTAATTAACCATCATCTTTTTGTATAAGTGGCTGAAATTTCATAATTATCAAACAGCGGGAGATCACAGCAAGCCACCAAATGAATCAAAAACGGTGGTGGCTGGATGTCAGATAAGAATAGATTAATGTAATCGATAAGAATGAATAGTCAGCAAAAACTGTACTTGAGCTCTCTGAAGTTGTAATGTCTGGAGATGGAGAGTAGAACCAGTTCAATCCTTCGAATTAACTTGATATTCTCTCACTTAAGTCAGGCAGGTCTGCAGTAATCAGTAATATGGATTGATTAAAGAGTTGGTTCATTGGATAGAATCTGTAGGCACAGTTCTTGCCACTCAGATTCCAGAAGTTATATTTGGTAGGATGGCCGTGGTTGGCCAACAATGAAAAGCTTGCTTGTAGTCTGCTCTGGAAAGCTGTCTGGCTTTAGCTGGTCAAACTGTCACAGTGCCTCCTGCATTTTTCGAAGTTGTTTAGTCTTGGCGCAGGCAAGAGGTCAGGCTATTTGGGTAATTTGAATGTATGTGGCATGATCATTGTGTATCATTGGCAAATAGGGGCTCTCAACTGGACATGGATTTATCAAGAACAAGAACAGAAATTGCTGGAGAAGTTCAGCAGGTCTAGCATAATTTGTCAAGAGAAAGCACAGTTAACATTGAGTCCAATGACCCTCCCTCGGAACACCTTTTATAAATGGATTTATCAGGACCTGAATTTGGAACAAGTTAAACACAACAATGTGTTTCCACTTATGTGTTAGATATACAAATGGAAATAGCTGATGTAGTGCAATATTTGATCTTAATTAGACTGTTATTGCTGTAATAAAATATGCAGAACTCTAATACATTTGATTCAACTTTGTTATACTTGACAAATGATGTGCAGATTTTCCATTTGATAAAGATTTATAGAGATATTTAGTAAACAATATATTAGATTAAAATAAATCTTAATGTGCTTTAGATATTCGTGATTAAACATTTAAAGACTCTGATATCTTGCTTAAATCATCATGCTGATATTAGAAATGATTATTGATTACCTTTAGAGATTGTTAAAACACTGATCTATTTGACAAATTATTATTAAGAGATCAGAGTACCAGCTGAAGTTGTGATCTAAATCTGTGGTGTAGATCTGTGGTGAAGTCCGAATATGGCAAGAATACGTAATATGCTTTTACAAATGTCATCTGAAACAATCTTGATCTGATAGCCTTGTAATTAACACTATAGTAATACAATTCAAATAAATTTTAAATATTTTGTAAACTACTATTTAAATTTTAATTTGAACTTTTTTGTTGCATTATCAGTATGAGAAAGTTAGAATTTATCGTACCGACGGGTCTTATCGTGCTGTTGAGCTGAGGCACGGTAACAATACCACAGTGCAGCAAATTATGGAGGGCATGCGGCTGTCACCAGAAACACAACAGTACTTTACAATCTGGATCTGCTCTGAGAACCTCAGTAAGAAAGATGATTAAATTGATTTTTTTAATTTAAATAATAGTTTAACTAAAAAAAATGCTAAAATGGTTGAATTTTGCAGAGAATGTTATTTTCAAATAAATTGTTAAAATAAGAGAAAAGATGAATGCATTTTAGTGGGAGGATTCCTTGCAAATGTTATCAATTACAAATCGAAGTTCAAATATGGTTTTCCCATTTTAAATAGCAAGGGGATGATGAATTCATGATGCTCATGCTAATTCACATCGCAGATTCTCAATACAAGGGAGAAGGACAATTTGTTTAGCTTTGTAAAAATTCTTGTTCAATGCTGGTGGCACATTCTTTTGTGCTGTTGCCAGGAAATATGACCCATTGTTAGCTTGAAGCACTTGCACACCTAAACATTGCACCAGCCATCTTGCAGTCTGTGGATGAGATTAGGGACAGTTTGAGTTTAAGACTGCATTTATCCTGATAGGATTATGCATATTTTATATTGGGCACTCAAAACCAACAAGTAAAGCTGACTTTTGTTCTAGCAATCTCGGCTAGATTTGAATACAGCTCCCAGAAATGATATACTATTGTTAACCCACTCCTTCATTGCTCCTCTTTTAAAAAGTAATAAGTAAATTTACTGGTGAAGACATTGCCACGCTATCTTTCAATTTTTTTTTCTCTAGGTTTGCAGCTCAAACCGTACCATAAATCACTACAGCACCTGCGAGACTGGCCAGAAATCGTTGCAGAATTAACAAGCCTTGATCCACATTTGGAAAAACCACAACTCTTCCTACGCAGGGATGTACGGCTTCCACTGGAAACTGAAAAGAAGGTTAGTGCTAAAGTGCAGCATTATAAACAGCATTTTTGCTTGAGGAGCAATACAAATTTATAAGGCCTTACCCTCCTTTCACTGCTGAAAATGGTTTTCAGCAATTGTATATGCATGCTTCATTTGTGAAAACCAATGGGATTTTGAATGGTTTGACAGGATGCTTTTCTATTCCCAAGCCATGCTTAATCAATATTTAGTTCAACCGTACTGAAAACGTGAACTATTCCATTCTGTTGTTGTCATGTCTTTGATCACATTTGTCATGTGTGGATGATTAGTTAATTAACAAAATAAGATTCTAAGGTATTGTCACGGACAAAATGTTCACAAATTTTTTTTTCCAGCAGGGAACATTAGTGAAAATGGTCAAGTAGTTCCAGTGGCCAGATAGTCATTGAAGCAGCACGGACTGGAGTTCTGCATTGGGACCATATGAAATCCCAGGTGCAACCCACACTCGGAATTGACCAGGAACGTAAAGATTCCGATGGGCAATTCCCTGCATCTAAGACCCTCTGGTAGAATCCATTAACGTTGAAGAGTTTGGAGTGTTCAGCTTCAATGAAGCCAATAGTTACCCAGGAAAATTCAGGATTAAAGCCTACTACTCTCACCCCTCCCCCACCAGCCCCAACACAACTCAAGTTGCAGGACACAACGCATCCACCAGTCGCAACACTTACCCCGACCCTCCAAAGCACATGCTGACTGAGAGGCATTTACTGCAAATTGATTGACTTAACTTTACATCACAGACCAACAGACTACTTTATTTGCATTGCTTTCTTATGTGTTAGGCAGTAATCGTTTAGCTGCAGTTTTCCAGTTCACTAGGATGTCAACAAATATCAGTATTTCCAAAGTGTTATACAGTTATGTCTAACAATGTTATGTAAATGCAGCTAAGCAGTGTTGTATCAAAGGCTGTGTAGGTAAATATTTTGTCCTGACTGGTTTATTATTTTGTTCAACAGTGATGCTCTTGGCTTTTCATCGATTCGGTTCATTGCTAGTGTGATAAATGGTCAGTCAATGTTACTGACTCACTTTGACTTTGTTCCTGCTTCAAATATAAATAACATTTTTATCAAGTTATATCTAGACTTAGCATCATGAAGCTTCCAAGTCTACATAACTAAATTGCTCAGTTACATTGAGTGAGAAATGTCTTGGTTATAATTTTAATTACACCTAAGCATAAACATTGTATTTGTAGTACGTGGGCAAGACAGTTGCAGAAGAATTCATGTGAATGTGCGAGATTATCCAGTTTGAAAACATAACATGAGAATTAGAAGCAGGAGCAGGTTATTCTGCCCCATTAGCCTGCACCACCATTCATAAAGATCCCAGTTGATCTGCCCCAGACCTCGACTTCTTTTTCATGGCTGCTGCTTATAGCTGTCAACTCCATGATATTTTAAAACCCTATCTACTTCCTCTTTAAATAGTTTCAGTGATCTAGCCTTGACAACTCTCTGGGGTAGAGAATTCCAGATATCACTACCCTCTGAGAGAAGAAAGTCTTTGTCATCTTGGTTTTAAATGTGTTCCCTTATTCTGTAACTTTATCCACTAGTTTGAGATTTCCCCATTCATAGAAACATTATCTCAACGTCTACCCTGTCACTAGGGTCACCTCTCATTCTTATAAACCTAACGAATAAAGGTCTAAGGTGTTTAGCTGTTCTTGAAAAGTCAAGCGCTTCATCCAAGGAATCAGTCTAGTGAATCTTTTTTTGAATTGCCTGCAATCACCAACACTGTGCAGTTATAACAAGACTTCTGTGTTTTTAAACTCCAGCCCCGAGCAATCAATCCCAAAACTCTGTTTGCCCTCATGATTACTTGCTGCATTGGCATACCAGTGTTTTGTGTTTCATGCACAAGAACACCCAAATCCCTCTGTGCTGCACTTTTTTGGTGTCTCCCTTCACTAATTAATATTTCTTTTCATTCTTCCTAACAAAGTGCATGACATCAAACTTGCCTGCATTAAACTCTATCTGCTACATTTTTGCCCTCACCGAATGTATTTTTATTATCGTGCAAATTCCTTCTGTCCTTGTTATAACATGCCCCACCCCACCTATTTTTGTCTGATCAGCAACTTTGCACACTTTTTCATTGCCCCACTACCAAGTTGCTAATATGGATAGTAGTAATTGAGGTCCCATGACTGGCTGTTGTGGTATTCAACTTGTCACGTGTTTGCAGCCTCAAAAAAGACCCATTAATCCTGATTGCCTGTTTTCTGTGTATTAACCAATCCTCAATCCATGCTGATACATTACTCCTAATAGTGTGAGCTCCTGTCTTGTGCAATAATGTATTATGTGACACCTTACCGAATGTCTTCTGGAAATCCAAAATACACCACATCTACTAAATCTCCTTTATCAACTCTCTCATTTATATCCTCAAAGAACTCAAGCAAATTTGTCAAAATGATTTCCCTTTCAAAAAACCATGTTGGTTCTATTTGATTTTGTTAAGCTTTCCTAAATGTACTGCTATTTCTTCCATTATAATGAGCTCCAGCATTTTCTGACTGACAGATGTTAAACTGACTAACCTATGATTTCCTGCTTTCTATCTCTCTTGTGTCTTGTACAAGGGCCTCACGTTAAAAGTTTTCCAGTCCTCCGGAACCGTTGTAGAATCCAGTGAGTTCTGGAAGATTTAAGCCAATGCCTCCAATATTTCTGTAGCCACTTCCTTTAAAACTTTTGAATGCAGACCACCAGGTACTGGCACCTTGTCTACTTTAGTCCTATTAGCTGATCAAATACTCAGGGCTGTAGAGAGGGTTTTAAACTAATTACTGAGCAGAGAATTTGGGAGAGGGCAAATGTAGGACGTCAAAGCAAGAGGATACAACAACATTATTGGGCAGCTATTTGGATACCAATACCCAGGGTAGGACAGGAAGAGGTGGAGTGTACAAACATAGAAAACCAGCAGGATATTGGGTCAAGCGGGGGGGAAAAATGGTGAAGAGAGAAGATTAATGCTATTCACTTGAATACGCATAGTATTTAAACTAAAATAAATTAATTAATAGCACAAATACAGGTAAATGGGTATGACCTTATAGCCATTACAAAGACATGGTACAAGCAGATCAAAACTGGGAATTAAATATCCAGTGACTTTTTGAGAGGATAGGCAGGAAGGAAAGGGTGATAAGGTAGCAATGTTAGGACAGGATCGAATAAGTATTATAGCAAGAAATGATCTTGGGACAAAAACTGTAGTATCCATATGGGTGGAAGTGAGAAATAACAAGAGAAAGATGACACCAGTAGGAGTAGTCTACGGTCCTCCTACTGTTTGGTATGACAGAATAAATCAGGAGGTAATGAGGACATATAATAATGGCAGTGCATTAATCAATGGCGACTTTCATCATCTTGTAGATTGAGATAGCTAGATTTGCAAAGGTAGCCACAAGGAAGAATTTGTAGTGCGTATTAAGGTCAATTTCTTAGAACAAAATATTGTGGATCCAATCAGGCATTACGCTGTTTTGGATACGGTGATAGCTTTAATGAATCATGTCGTGGTAAAAGATTGGCTTGGAAACAGTGAACATGACACAGCAACATTTAGCATTTGATTTGACAGTGAGGATCTTGGCTTGCAAACAACTATGGTAAGCATAAATCTGGGTAATTACATAGAAATGAGGACAGAGCAGGACTGTGTGGTTTGGGAAGGTTGAGAAACAATGGCTTAAGAAAGCTTTTCATAGCTGACAGCTAGATCAAAATCCCTGGAATTTCCTCCCTAAGAGTAATGGGGGTCTACCTGTAGCACAAGGACTACAGTGGTTCAAGAGGGCAGATCACGACTACCAGCTGAAGGTCAGCTAGTGGTGGGTGATAAGTGCTGGCCAGCCATTGTCCCAATGCCCATGTCCCATGAGTGGATAAATCAAATATATTCTAGTGTAAAAGAAGGATTCTAGGAATGGAATGACTCAACCATCGGTAACTAAGGAAGTTAAGGACAACATCAAATTGAAAGAAAAAAAAGTGTGGCAAAGATTAATGGTGAGGCAGAGGATTGGGAAGATTTTAAAACTAACAAAAGACAACCTAAAAAAAAAGGGATAAAGTTTGAGGGTAAACTTGCATGTCATTTCAAAATGGACAGCAAGAGCTTCCTTAAATAAATGAAGAGAAGCCAAAGTGAACATTAGCCCCTTAGAAAATGAGGTTGGGGAAATAACAATGGGGACCAGGAAATGGCTGAGGACTCACCTAATTCTGAAGTGTTAACTCTGTTTTCTTTTCACAGATGTTGCCAGACCTGCTGAGTTTCTCGAGCAGTATATTGGGTCAAGAAGGAGGAGAAATGGGGAAAAGGCAAAATTAATGGTTATTTAATGTTTGTTTCAGATCACTTATTAATCTTAATTACACATTACTGGGGAGGTGGGGGTGTGATGTGGGGGCTGCCTTTAGCTCAGTTGGTTGACTGCCTGATTTGCAATGCAGAGTTCACTTCCCACAGGCTGAGGTTATGGTGAAGGACTCTCCTTCTAACCCTCTACCCTTGCCTGAGGTGTGGCGATCCTGAGCCTCTCTAATGAGAGGGTAACCCTGTAATCCAACAGAATTACGGCAACCCTTACATTTTACTAGATCTAAAATTACATACCTGGGTAAGTTGAGCCCGATACTCTTCTAAGAAAGAATCCTGACGCACTCTATAGATTTGTCTTCCATTTCACCCTTACCCATATGATTTATCCAGTCAATATGCAGATTAAAATCAGCAATTGAATTGTAGTGCCCTTCTTGTATGCCTGACCCCCACCATGATTTCTTTACCTTACTATTCCTTACTTCCACCCAAACTGATCTACATCACAGTATGTTGCACTTGTGTCACTACTCAGCACACTGATAATTTCCATTATTAACAGCATCCTTTTCCTCCTTGCCTTAGCTTCCAAAATGTCAAATACTCTTGAATATTGGATTCCCAGTCTTGCTGACTCTGCAACATAATAGTTATCAAGTTATATTCATTTATTTCTGTTTGTATTGTCAATTCTTCTATCTTGTTAGAAATGCTACATGCCTTTCAGATAAAGAGCTTTAAGCTTTGACTTCTACCTTTATTATGACTCTGGCTTTAATTTCTGCTGTACTTTTCTACAAAAGTGTTTACCTCTTTCTGTAACATTTTGATTATTGTTCCTCTTCACTCTATACTTTTGCACTCATCTCTTTTTGAAACTTTTTTAAAACTTTGTTTCAGTTGAATAGTTTTAGAAGAATGAATGGTGATTTCATTGAAAATTGGAAAATTTCTGTAGTGCCAGATGAAGTAGATGTAGAAAGGATATTTGCTCTGGTGGCATTGTGTTTTTGATTCAAGGCAATCTCAGAATTAAGCACAAACTATTAGGACAGAGATTACGAAGAATTTTCTTCCTCCAGAGTGCAGTGAATCATTAGAATTCCCTACCCCAGAGGGCTGTAGATGCTTAGTCATTGCCTATATTCAAAACACAGATTGATAAATTTGAAGTTACTAATGACATCAAGCGATAGTGAGGGAAAATGGTGTTGAGATAGATGATAAGCCATGATAAAGAATAGTGGAGCAGGGTCAAGGGGATAAATGGCCCACTCCTGCTTTTGTATTTCTAAATATTATTGCTGTGCAAATTGACATTGATTTTGTTTAATAAGCATAACACGCTGTTAAATGTGTACATTGTTTATGTATATAGTACATATTTTAATTTGTTTGTTTAAGGTGGATGATCCACTGGCTATCCTTATTCTATTTGATGAGGCACGTAGTAGCCTGCTGAAAGGATTATACCCATGTCCTGACAGTCAGTTGATAACATTGGCCGGTCTTCTCCTTCAAATCATCTATGGAAATTACGAGAGTAAAAAACATAAGCAGGGATTCCTCAAGTGAGTACATCTTTTAAGTGATTTATCAAATGTAGACAGCTGCAGGAATACTGCAGGTCAGGCAACATCAGAGGAGCAGGGGAGTGAGCCCTGATGAAAGATCTAGGCTCGAAACTTCAACTCTCCTGCTCCTTTGTTGCCTGACCTGCTGTGTTCTTCCAGCTCCACACTATCGACTCTGACTCCAGCATCTGCAGTTCTTGCTATCTCTGTCAAATGTAGGGAGTTTGATCAGAACCTCGGGGATTTCCATTTCAAGACATTGATAGTTCTTGCTTCTCTACCTTTCAGCAGATTTTTATTCTAAGTCTGGGCTAAAATCCTTGCATTATTTAGTATTATAAACAATTCTGTGTCATTCACATGATTATACTTGAGAACTCCATTATTGTTTTTTTAATTGTTAGACCAGGATATTATTAATAGGATGGCCAGTACTTCTCAACCTTGTATTCAGGGATTTAAAATGCACAACGTACTTTTGCTTTTTGAAGCATATTGTCTTTATATTGTAATTTTGGCCAAATAGAGAGATGCTATTTCTGATCTCTGCCTTCTGTAAACCACTCTACTAGAGAATAGTACACAGAACAGATTATGAACATGCCAGTTGGCTGGCTAACTGAAGCCACTCGTCGCCAAATGAACTTGTGATTCAATTCCTCTTGGTTGAGGCAGATCTCAACCTGATTCCAAATATGCAAGAAAGATCAGTTTCCATTAAATTAGAAACTGAATATTTCGTAAGATTAACAAGATGTATGCTGTTTGGAAGGGAAAGATAATGATAATATATTATGTAGACATGCTTTCCACAGTACTTTCTTTTCCCATCACTAGAAAATTAAGGACTTTAAATATGTGCAGTTTTTATCACCACAATTTCAATTATTTCAACAACTGCAGCAAAGGCAAAGTTCCAGACAAACGTAAATAATGGATTAAGGAAGATGTTTCAATTTTCTACTATGCACTGGCTGCGTGATTGGTATTTTGCTCTTTAAAAGGATGCCACCAGTAGTCCAAATAAGAAATTCTGCCTATGATACAATTGAGCAACATTGTGTGTCAATTTCAATATGGGGCGATGGCCGAGACTTGGCTGCATGTCCCACAATTTCATTTTATTTCAGATGTTCATAATAGGCAAAGTACGGACTGTACTCAATCGACCTGCACTTGCAAAACCCAAACAAGAGTCCATTCTGTCCCACCTTGCCAAAGCAGCTCCTGCTGATGCAGACAGGTCTCATATTGGGCCCAAACCCACCTCTGATCCCGCCTCCACGCATCTGTGTTGGATGCAGAAGCTGCGGGGAACCCAAACTCGCCCCTGCTTCCGCCATGGTTCTGTGCAGGACTCATCTCACCACCGGTGATGCTGTCGTTGCCGATGTCATTGTCGTGACCAAGCTGTTCACAAGAGGCAAGTAAACAGAAGAAAAACAACAAGAGGGGGACAAAAAAAGCAAAGTGGACAGAGCAGATGAGCTCCCAGCTCAGGAGCCCTACTCCTCCACCATCATGGATTAGCTGCATATTAAAGCCAACTGAATTCTCCCTTCACCTAATATTGTTAGGTATGTACTCTCTGTGACCGAACGAGAAGAGTGTCCAATTAATTCTCTAGACCAGGATTGCTAAAGTTGTGTTTTAGAATTTTTCTCAACGAAGATCAGGCAAATTCAATATAGTGCAAGAATTGAATGTGCCAATTTCTGGCGTGGCTGAGTTTCATAACAGAATGCATTCACCACTGCTGAGGCACTTATTTTCTGTTATTTCAGAAAATGTTTATCTTCAGCATGTTTCACTGTTCAGCTGCTAGAGTGAGCATTGATTATTTATTTTATCTACGATGTTCATTATCTTTTACTGAATAAAATTCTATGCATTTCAGTGAAGAAAATCTTAAATGTATCTTACCGTGTACCAAACTGAAAAGCAAGGCTCCACACTGGATCAATAGGATTTTACATGAATACAAGGTCAGTTCATATAAATCTTTGAAATTTTGATCTACCCATTAATTCTTTCCTTTCTCAATTACTTGACATTTTATTAAAAAAACACTTTATTGAACATATGTTACTTACTCAATGTGATTATTAAATTATCTTCAAAATTGTTGCATGAGTGGAAGTAACTTGGTGTAACTTTTAATGTATGGTAGGGATAGTCTTAGATTACAGGAGGACATACAAAGGCTGGTCAGATGCGCTGATCAATGGCAAATGGAATTCCGGATAAGTGAGAGATAATGCATTTGGGCTGGACAAATAAGGCAAGGGAAAACATGAACGGTAGGACCCTGGGAAGCGCCAATGATCAGGGGACCTTGTGCGTGTACATCAGTCCTTTTAAGGTATCAAGACAAGTGAATAAAGTGATTATGAAGGCATATGGTATACTTGCCTTTGTTAACCATGGCATAGAGGTTAGAAACAGAGGGATTCTGCTGGAACTGTATCAAATGTTGGTTAGGCCACAGCTCAAGTACTGTATGCAGTTGTAGAATCCACATAATAGGAGTGATGTCATAGCCTTGGAGAGGGTGCTGAGATGATTTGCGAGGAAGTTGCCTTGGCTAGAGAGTTATTGAAGAGAGATTGGACAGTCTGCGTTAGGACATAGAGGGTGGTGATCGAGGATTGTTTTCTGGACTGGAGGCCTGTGACCTGTGATGTTCTGCAGGAATCGGTGCTGGGTCCACTGTTGTTTGTCATTTATAAAGGATTTGGATGAGAATTTAGGAGGCACAGTTAGTAGGTTTGCGGATGACACCAAAATTGGTGGTATAGTCAACAGTGAAGAATGTCGTCTGCGATTACAAAGGGACCTTTATCAATTGGGCCAATGGGCTGAGGAGTGGCAGATGGAATTTAGTTTGAATAAATACAAGGTACTGCATTTTGGTAAAACAAACAAGGGCAGGACTTACTACAGTTTATTGTAGGGCCCTGGATAGTCTCATCAAACAGAGACCGAGGGGTTTAGGTAAATAGTTCTTTGAAAGTTGCATCTCAGGAAGACAGGGTGGTTAAGAAGGCACTTAGCACGCTTGCTTTCATTGCTCAGACCACTGAGTATAAGCATTGGGACATAATGTTGAAGTTGTACAGGATGTTGATGAGGCCACTTTTGGAGTACTGTGTACAGTTCTGGTCACCCTGTTATAGGAAGGATATTATTAAATTGAAGAGGATTCAGAAAATATTTGCCAGAATGTTGCTGGAACAAGAGGATTTGAGTTATAGGGAGAGGCTGAATAAGCTGGGACTTTTTTCCCTGGAGCGGAAGGTGTTGAGGGGTGGTGACCTTAGAGGTTAATAAAATCATGAGGGGCGTAGATAAGGTTACCAGCAAAGGTCTTTTTCCTAGGGTGGGGCAAGTTCAAAACTAGGGAGCATGTTTTTAAGGTGAGAGGAGGAAGATTTAAAAGGGACCTGAGGGACAACTTTTCACACCAGAGGGTTGTTCGTATGTGGAATGAACTGCCAGGGAAAGTGGTAGATGCAGATACGATTACAACATTTAAAAGACATTTGGATAGGTACCTGAATAGGTAAGGTTTAAAGGGATATCTGCTAAATATAGGCAAGTGGGACAATTTTAGTTTGGGAGACTTGGTTGGCATGGATGTCGTAGACCAAAAGGTCTGTTTCCATGCTGTATGGTTCTGACTCTAAATTCCTTAGAGCAGAGGAGATTGAGAACCTACATGATTGAGAGATACAAAATTACGAGCGTAACTAGGTTAGACAGGAAGAAATATTTCCCCTTGATTGAGGAATCATTGACCATGGATTTAAGGTAAAGGGCAGAAGCTTCAAAGGAAATGTGAGGAAAAACTTTTGCATCGAGAGGTTGGTGGAAATCTGTAAGGGTGATAGAGGCAGTAACCCTCACAACATTTAAGATGTATTTAAATGTGCACTTGAGATGCCATGGCATACTAAGTTATGGGCCAAGTGCCGGAGGTTAGATGGTTGTTTTTGACCTGCATGGACCCAATGGGCTGAAGGGCCTGTTGCTGTTCTGTAAACCTCAGACTCTACATATTACTTTGAATTACGTTGGTTTATGGAGAGTAGAAAAAAATTAGGTTGGGCCTCAGGCATGCTCAAACTCCAAGTGGTCTTGTTCACAAGCAAAATCCCTTATCACTACATCATTATTATTCTAGTAATTTTTTACAAATTGTAACAACTGAATTTTATTTTTGACTGCCAACCCTTTTTTGAGCTTATAACTCAAACTTTGAGCAATCATGTTTTAATCAGTGCTAATGAGTATTGTGTACTTTTCTTACCACTCCCCAGGTGTTGAATACTTTTATATGTATGTAGAAAATGAAATGGAGTTGCAGTCATTTCTCCAGGCTAACCCTGTAACACATGCTCTTGCTGTTTACATCTGAACTGGAAGTAGCATGAATGAAACCTGTGTTGTCAGATTCACTGCCCTTTTAGGTCATGATGCATGACACAGCAAAGGTTGATCAGTGTTAAGGTTGATGGTTAAGGAATGTTAAATTACAATTACAAAAGGGGAATTAGTGTACAGTTAATAAGCAGCCTAATACTTCCCTAATGGCAAGTGTCTATTTTGCAGCTGCCACAGGTAAGAATATAGATTGAAAATGAGAGTCCGATCAGGAGCTTGAAACAAATAAGTAACTTGAAGAAACTGACCTGATTAATTAACCATAAAAATAATCAATGCCTGTGGCAACACTTGGCTAGACAATTCCAAAATTAGTTCTGCTCAGAACTTGCTTTATATTGTTTCCTACTTAATATAATTTTCCAGTTTTCCCTTAAAAGTCTTTGCTTCAAACTTTAGTGCTCCAGCAAGAATGTGTTTTTAAAAGAAAAAGCACCTGACTTGTCTCCTCAGCCTCCCTTAGTCCAGTATAGTCCTACCATTCCAAGACAACTTATAATGATAGTTTGCCACCATTTAAATTGGTGAATCTATGCACATTCTCCGGTTTTCATGTCTTATGTTTAACAGTCTGCCCAAAACAGCTTTTTGGTCTCTCCAATTGCATACTAATATGCATTGTGAAAGAATTCTTCTCTGACATTATAGAGAAAAGGAAAGCTATTCTTCCTCAAACTGTCAGCTCTGAATTGGTTAGCAGGTAGTACAAACAAAGTCTTTTTTTCTACTTTTCAGTCTGCACCACTTGTGCCTGCCCTCCGCCCCCAACACCAACCCCACCAACAAGACCGAAGTGTCTCTCTCACTCTCACACAGACTTCTCTAAGAGTGTTCCATATCTTTAGTGTTCAAGTATTTTAGCTGATGACACTCAGGGGAAATAAATAAGTCACAAATCTGTCCTGAACTACAAGCTGATCCTCTGTTAAAAACTATAAACCAGTCCTAAATGCTGTTGAACAAAATGTTTACAAAGTCTTAATTGAAAAATTCCATTTATTTACCAACAGCATTGGCTGCAGTTCTTAAACAGTGATTTGATGTGATGAGAATATTTTTCATATGTATCCTTTTATGCACAGGCAACTTTTACTTTGCAATATAAATCTTAAAAGTTGATCAATCTTAAAATCTTTAACAGAGTCTTAGCAGTCGTGAAGGAATCAGTAAGGAGATGCACCACCTTCAGCGTCTTTTCCTGCAGATTTGCTGGGAGTTTCCAACTTATGGAGCAGCCTTTTTCACAGGACAAGTATATACTAAATCAAGCTCAAGTAGTCATAAAGTTGTCAAAGTATACGTTGGTGTAAACACGAAAGGCCTGCATTTGCTAAACATGGAAACAAAGGTAAATTGACAGTGATCCCTGATGAATTTATGATGTAACAAATGTGTATTTTGATATTGCCCAGAAGGAGACATTTTGTTGAACCTTTTTGTCAGGACAAAATTACAAACGTGTAATTTGCTCAAATGAGTAATGTAGTCTGTGTTTCAGTGCCAGTGTGATGCCAGGTGTTTAGACCATACATCCCAAAGACTGGCGGTTCATATCAAACAACATGTCCCTTCTGTTTGCAACAAGCAAGATACTGACTGGACTCAAACAACTCATGCTTGTAAAGCTCAAAGATGTGATTCTGCAATTGACAACATTTGTTGGACAATTTTGAGTGTGCGAATGCATCCAATTTAGGATTGTCCATTGGCCTTGCAGTGTGATGCATTTGCCTGAACTGGAATCTATATATACCAATATACAGAGTCCTGTTCCTTACTGACAAAACAAACATATATATGCACTGCTCCTGTGTCAATTGAGCAAAATAGGTGGCAACCATTCACTGGTTCATTTCTTGGAGCAGTACCTTGACCAGAGTCAACTTGTATGAAATTTTAACACTGGCAGTAAACTGTTGATCACAGCACCCTACATGGTGACACCTTCTATCAGTCACACTCCACTTGTCAACCAACCAGCACTCTACTTTCTTAATAAAAACTGAAAGAACTGTGGATGCTGTAAATGAGAAACAAAAACAGAAGTTGCTGGAAAAGCTCAGCAGGTCTGGCAGTATCTGTGACGCAAAATCAGAGTTAACGTTTCGCGTCTGGTGACCCTTCCTCAGATCAGGAGGAAGCATCACCAGACCTGAAACGTTAACTCTAATTTCTCTTCACCGATGCTGCCAGACCTGCTGAGTGTCTCCAGCAACTTCTGTTTTTGTTGTTGAGCATTCTTCTCTCATTCAGTATAGATGTTTGCTTCTTCTTTTAAAGTGATTTTTTTGTGAATCGTCGTGATGAATGCAAGTCACAAGCTTTAACAGTCTTTTTTGCAGTAATACTCAAGTTCTGTGCTACCAAATAACTATTTGTAAACATGCATTTATCTGATCCCTTCCCAACCAATTATGTGATGGATTACTTCTGAAGAACTGTGACTTTTCATAGGCATTTGTTATGAGAAGACCAGTTCCTTTAATTCTATATTAAAACATCTTTTCTCTTTTCCAAGTATAATATTTTATCTATTTCAACTGTAAACTCACTCTGTAACAATTAAAAAATTTGCCATAATGATCTGTATAATGGTAGTTATAAGAACTAAGATTGCGAACCTTTGGCTTCCTGTTAAACCTGGCATGAGTTGTAAATTTTGCATCCTATTCAACACAAGACTTGCATATTTCCACTTTAAGTGTTGCAACAAAGAGCCATTATGTCAAAATTTTTGTGATGAGTGCAAGACAAAGTTTCAACTTTGTCTATTTTTTCAGTGTTTAAGTTCTGAATCATAAGCAATTATTTTCACTTTTTAATATTGCCCACCCTGTAATCAGCCCCTGGGAAATAGTGGAATTGTCCTGAGCATGTTTGCTGTTGAATTTCCTTTTGGTAATGTGGATGTGATTTACTAGCTGTAGGTGGTATTAATCACCTCTATCAACTCATGACTGAAAATCTTTGCAGCGCCATTGGCTGAATTCCAAATGCATCGCCACAAACTGTATCAGATAGGAGTTCTTCACTATTGAAGGCTGTGACAAATTATTTTCTGAACTGCAAATGCACTTGGTAATATTAATTTTTTTCTTACAACTGTATTTTTTCCAGGCTTTGCTGATTAGCCTTAAGTATGGCTCCCTCATGTGGCAATTGGGTGAAGCAGATGCCTACTTTCAAATTCACAGTTTGGAAAATAAAATGAGCCTTGTTGTGCATACAAAGCAGGTAAAAAGTTCATTCTCATCACTGTTCAGATGAAGGTGAAGCCTTTCAGTTTTATTTAGGAACATAAATAATGCAAGGGTCTTTTTCTTGTAATTTTGTATCACCAATACTTGAAGTGAACGATAGTTAATGGGGTTGATATAGCTAGCTCATTATATACTGATCAAACTGGTATTCTAGTAATGAAACTGTGTATTTTTAAAAATTCTGAAATTTTCTTTCAATAGAAATCCTCCAAAACATTAGGACAGTTACTTTTGAAAAGAAAAGAACTAATAATTAATTACCTGTGTAAAAGAACCTTTAAGGATGAGTGTGACTTTAAATTGTTTCTGAAAGTGAGATTGTTCAGCCTGAAGCAAGGGTGTTAAATTTGAATAAGAGAAATTTTGGAAGTGTGAGACACAAGATGGCTAAGTTGAATTTGGAAAATACATTAAAAGGCATGACTGTACATAGGCAATGGACAGTTTTCAAATCTGTGGAATTCTTTTCCCCAGTGGCTTTAGATGATGCGTCATTAAGTATATTCATGGCTGAGAGATTTTTTAATCAGTAAGAGAATCAAAGACTTTGGGGAAAATGCAGGAAAGTGGAGTTGAGGCCTTTGATTTGAGTACAGGAGAAGTGAAGTCTTGCTTCAGTTCTATAGGAGCATGGTAAGACTGCATCTGGAGTACTGTGTGTAGTTTTGTCTCCTTACATCAGGAAAGATGTCATTGCTTTGGAGGTTGCGCAGCAAAAATTCAACAGATTTGTTCCTGCAATGGAGTGATTGTCCTATGAAGAGATATTAGGCAAACTGGGCCTGTATTCTCCAGAGTTGTGAAGAATAAGCAGTTATTTCTTTGAAATCTACAAAATACTTTAAGAGTTAGACAGGGTGGGTGCAGGTCATAAAAACAGAAATTGCCGAAGAAACTCAGCACTGAAGAAGGGTCCCAGGACTCCATGTTAACTCTGCTTTCTGTTAACTCTCCATGCAATGAGTTAAGTTGTTTCCCCTGGCTGGGGAGTCTAAACCAGGTGGTACAATTTGAAAAGAAAGGGGATGCCAGTTACGACCGGGTTGAGGAGAAATTTTTCTCCTATGTGAATCTTTGAAATTCTCTACCCCAGAGGGCTGTGAAAGCTCAATCTTTTGAGTATGTTTAAAGTAGAGATTGGATTTCTGATTACTAATTGTTTCAAAGATTATGGAGATAGAGTGTGGGTAAAAGGCATGAAGTATTTGATCAGCCGTAGCTAAATTAAATGGTGGAACAGCCTCAAAGGGCTGAATGGCCTACTCCTGTTCCTATGTTCATAACTGTTTGCTCAGTATTTTAAATCGACTGCAATATTTATATATTTCAAAAGAAGTCAAGGGTAATCTCGAACTGAGACTTGTGCAGTTTCTTTATTGTTTCTTATATATATACCTTTCAGTAACACTTATTTCTGCCTCCATCTTGCAGGCTGGTCTGATTGTGAAATTACTGATGAAATTAAGTGGCCAACTGAGTGTAAATGAAAGAAATTTGACAGAGAGACATGGCTACGGGTAACCATTAAATATCGTGAGATCTTTATCTTGACAAGACCATTCCTATTGAACTGAAGTGCTTTAGATTACGAAGAAGCCAAAAAAACCCACTGTGATTTAGCATTCCATGTATATTTGTATGATATTGAAGAATTGTATACCTTATTCGATGTATTTTAAAGCAATTGTGTATGTCGATTATGTCAATGTCTGGTTATTGTGCTAAAGAAAAAAGTTTTGGTTTGATTCTAAGAACAACAAGATTCTGACTTACTGTATGCATTATAGCAATAGTTGTGCTCTTCAGTATGGTTTATAAAGCATTTTAGAAATGTATCACAATATTGATATTTTTTGTTATGAATTAAAACAGGGTCTTTTAGAATTTCAGTTGATTTTGCATTTTTTCAGAACTATTACGATCCAGAAGGAGGCCATTAATTCCATTAAGTCTGCACTGGAATGAAACCAGACAGCGCATCTGACATCAACGAAGGGCCCAGAAACAGCTCTTTGGACCCTGCAAGGTCCTCCTTTATTAAATCAGGGGACGAGTGCCAAATTGAGAGAGCTGCCTCACAGACTAGCCAAGCAAATAGACTGATATGGTCATACCCACGGAATGATACCTTACAATGTCCCAGAAACCACCATCACCATCCCTGGGTATGTCCTATTTTATTGGTATGACAGACCGAGCAGAGGTGACAACACGGTGGTATGCAGTTGAAAGGCAACTTCCCTAGGAGTTCTCAATATTGCCTCTGGCTCCCATAAATTCTTATGGCTTCGGGTCAAAGATGGGTAAGAACATAAGAACTAGGAGCAGGAGTAGGCCGTCTGGCCCTTCGAGCCTGCTCCGCCATTCAATAAGATCATGGCTGATCTTTTCGTGGACTCAGATCCACTTACCCGTGGTCTCACTGTATCCCTTAATTCCTTTATTGTTCAAAAAAAATCTACCTTTTTTTAAAAAACGTTTACTGAAGTAGTGTCAACTACTTCACTGGGCAAGGAATTCCATAGATTAACAACCCTCTGGGTGAAGAAATTCCTTCTCAATTCAGTCCTAAATCTGCTCCCTCTAATCTTGAGGCTATGCCCTCTTGTCCTAGCTTCACCTGCCAGTGGAGACATCCTCTCTACTTCTAGCTTATCTATTCCCTTCATAATTTTATATGTTTCTATAAGATCCCCCCTCAATCTTCTGAATTCCAATGAATATAATCCCAATCTACTCAGTCTCTCCTCATAAGCCAACCCCCTCAACTCCAGAATCAACCTAGTGAACCTCCTTTGCACCCCCTCCAGTGCCAATACATTCTTTCTCAAGTAAGGAGACCAAAACTGCACACAGTACTCCAGGTGTGGCCTCACCAGCACCTTGTACAGCTGCAACATAACCTCTCTCTGCTTTTAATTTCAATCCCTTTAGCAATGAAGGACAAAATTCCATTTGCCTTCCTAATTACTTGTTGTACCTGCAGACCTACCTTCTGTGATTCATGCACAAGGACACCCAGGTCCCTCTGCATAGCAGCATGCTGCAACTTTTTACCATTCAAGTAATAATCCTTTTTACTATTACTCCTACCAAAATGTATGACTTCACATTTATTTACATTGTATTCCATCTGCCAGACCTTTTGCCCACTCACTCAATGTATCTATGTTGCTCTGCAAAGTTTCACAGTCCTCTGCACACTTTGCTCTGCCACTCACCTTAGTGTCATCTGCAAACTTTGACCCCCCAAACGTGGTCCCCAACTCCAAATCATCTATATAAATTGTAAATAATTGCGGTCCCAACACCGATCCCTGAGGCACACCACTAGTCACTGACTGCCAGCTAGAATAGCACTCATTTATCCCCACTCTTTGCTTCCTGTTAGTCAACCAATCCTCTATCCATGCTAATACTTTACCCTTAATGCCATGCATCCTTATCTTATGCAGTAGCCTCTTGTGCGGCACCTTGTCAAAGGCCTTTTGGAAATCTAGGTACACCACATGCATTGGGTCCCCATTGTCCACCTTGCTCGTAATGTCTTCATAGAATTCCAAAAGATTTGTCAAGCATGACCTGCCCTTCATGAACCCATGCTGCGTCTGCCCAATGGGACAATTTCTATCAAGATGCCTTGCTATTTCTTCCTTGATAATAGACTCGAGCATCTTCCCCACTACAGAGGTTAAGCTGACCGTCTATAATTCCCCATCTTTTGTCTACTTCCCTTTTTTAAACAGTGGCGTCACATTTGCTGTTTTCCAATCTGCTGGGACTGCCCCAGAATCCAGCGGATTTTGGAAAATTACTGCCAGCGCACCTGCTATTTCTCCCGCCATCTCTTTTAGTACCCTGGGATGCATTCCATCAGGGCCAGGAGATTTATCAATCCTTAGCTCCATTAGCTTGCCCAACACTACCTCTTCCGTAATTATGATTGTTTCCAGGTCCTCACCTACCTTCGTCTCTTTGTCAATTACTGGCATGTTATTAGTGTCCTCCACTGTGAAGACCGATACAAAATACCTGTTCAATGCCTCGGCCATTTCATCATCTCCCATAACTAAATTCCCCTTCTTGTGCTCTGAAGGGCCAGCGTTTACTTTAGCCACTCTTTTTCGTTTTATATATTTGTAGAAACTTTTCCTATCTGTCTTTATATTCTGTGCTAGTTTTTTCTCATGTTCTATCTTACTTTTCTTTACAGCTCTTTTTGTGGCTTTCTGTTGACCTTTAAAGTTTTCCCAATCTTCTAGTTTCATGCTGTTTTTGGCCACTTTGTATGCCTTCTCTTTCAATTTGATAGCCTCCCCTATTTCTTTAGACACCCATGGCAGATTACCCCTTTTCTTACAGTCCTTCCTTTTCATTGGAATATACTTTTGCTGAGCACTTTGAAAGATTGCTTTGAAAGTCCTCCACTGCTCGTCAACTGTCCCACCATAAAATCTTTGTTTCCAGTTTACTTTAGCCAAGTCCTCCCTCATTCTATTGTAGTTCCCCTTGTTCAAGCACAGGACCCTGGTATTGGATTTTATCTTCACACTCTCCATCTGTATTCTAAATTCAACCATACTGTGATCACTCCTTCCAAGAGGATCCCTAACTATGAGGTCATTAATTATTCCTGTCTCATTACACAGGACCAGATCTAGGATAGCTTGCTCCCTCATTGGTTCCATTACATACAGTTCAAGAAAACTATCACGGATACACTCAACGAACTCCTCCTCAAGGCTACCCTGACCGAGCTGGTTCGACCAATCTACATGTAGGTTAAAATCCCCCATGATAATTGCCATACCATTTTTACAGGCATTAGTTATTTCTTTGTTTATTGCCCGCCCCAATGTGATGTTATTATTTGGTGGCCTATAGACTACGCCTATCAGTGACTTTTTCCTCTTAGAATTTCTAATTTCCACCCAAATGGATTCAACCTCATTCTCCATAGAACCTATATCATCTCTCAGCACCGCCCTGATGGCGTCCTTGAATATCAGAGCTACACCTCCCTTACCTTCCTGTCTGTCCTTCCGAATACCCTTGGATACCCTTGGATATTTAACTCCCAGTTGTGACCATCCTGTAACCATGTCTCCGTAATGGCTACCAAATCATATTCATTCGCGATGATTTGTGCCGTTAACTCATCAACCTTGTTACGAATGCTACGAGCATTCAGGTAAAGTGCCTTTATGCTAGCTTTCTTACCCTCATGATTTCCAACATCTCTAATAATACCTCCCGCGTTATCCTTTTTTGCTTCTTTCATAGTCTGCCTTGAACTTAAACCCTCCTGCACACATGCTAACCTGCTGCTTACCTTTTTATTTACCATCATACTCCCTGTCGTTTTCCCTTTCCACCCTCTTTATCCTTTTCGCAAGAACACTGGTTCCAGATCGGTTCAGGTGGAGACCGTCCCATTGGTACAGATCCCTCTGGTTCCAAAACTGATGCCAATGCCCCATGAAATGGAACCCCTCTTTTCCACACCACTCCCTTAACCACATGTTTACTTCCCTAATTTTCTTATCCCTAAGCCAATTTGCACGTGGCTCGGGCAGTAATCCGGAGATTATGACCCTCGAGGACCTGTTCCTTAATTTCATTCCTAGTGCTTGATTATCCCCAAACAGGTCCTCCATCCTAGCCTTGCCTATGTTGTTAGTCCCAACGTGGACCACAACAACTGGATCGTCCCCCTCCCGCTCCAAAATCCTTTCAAGCCGGTCAGAGATGTCCTGCACCCTGGCACCGCGCAGGCAACACACCATGCGGGACTCCCGATCCGGCTTGCAAAGGATACTATCTATCCCCCTAACTATGGAATCCCCTATAACTACCCAAATATATTCCCGGCAGCCCCCTGGTCCTCCCTGTCGCCTCTCCCTCTGCTGCTGAAACATGAAGGCCGCTGACGCTCGAGGTAAGCCTTTTAAGAGGGAAAGCTTACCTTCCCGGCAGCCCCCTGGTCCTCGCTGTTGCCTCCTGCTGATTACCACATTACACTCCCTACCAAAGTGGCTCAGTAGCGCTTGGTCAAGTGCTTAAGGACATTGCTGCTCGACTGGATTGACAGGTGATGAGGGAAAAATACACTTGACCTCATTGTCACCAGTCTTCTTGTCGCAGATGCATGTCCATGACAGTATTGGCTGAAGTGACCATTGTACAATTCTTGTGGAGAAATCCCATCTGCATATTGAAGATCCATCATGTTGTGCGGCCTACCACTGAGCTAAATAGGATGGATTTAGAACAGATCTAACAGCTCAAGACTCGGCATCCATGAGGCACCATGGGCCATCAACAGCAGCAGAAATGTCCTAAAACACAGTCTGTAAACTGATGGCCCATTGTGTCCCCTTTTCACCATTACCATCAAACCAGGTGATCAAGCATGGTTCAATGAATAGTGCAGGAGCAACACCAGGCATGCATACAAATGCAGTGTCAACATGGTGAAGCTACAACACAAGTTTTTTGTGTTAAGCAGCATACGTAGCAGATGATAGTTGGGACAAAGCGACTTCACAACCAGTAGATTAAAGCTCTGCAGTCCTGCCATATCCAATTGTGTATGGTGGTGGACAATCAACCAACTCACTGGAAGATGAGGCTGAAGCATATGCAACAAACTCTAGCCAGAATTGTCCAATGAACAAACCATTTCAGCTTCCTTCCGAGGTCCCTACTTTTACAGGTGCCAGTCTTCTTTTTTCAATTCACTTGATGTGATATCAATAAACAGTTGAGGGCAAAACATACTGCAAATGTAGTGGCTCTGGCAATGTTCTGACAAAACTACTAAACACCTGTGCTCCAGAACTGGGCACACCCCTAGCCAAGTTGTTCCAGTACAACTAAAACAC